CAGGTAAACCGCTGCAGCTCTGCAGGTAAACCGCTGCAGCTCTGCAGTAAGAGGGGTTCACTTCAGGACAAATTGAATTTGCTGATTTGTAAGTTTCTTAATTGTCAGTTATAAACATGCACATTAAAAGAAACAAACCTTTGAAATATATCAGTCTGTGTGTAACGAATGAATATACAAGTTTCACTTTTTGAATGGAATTACTGAAATAAATCAACTTTCTCAAAACATTCTAATTTTATGACCAGCACCTGTATTTCAAATGTACTTTTAATCACTTAATGTGTGATTTATAAGTGTATTAAGTGCAGGGTCAGTTCTCATTTAATGAGTAGATCCCACAGCGGGGTCAGCTGAGCCTCCTCCCCCTCCTCCTCCCCCTCCTCCTCCCCCTCCTCCCTGCTCCGCACTGATTCACATCAGATTGTACACAAAAGCCCAGGAACTTATGCATAGTGCACAACTTTAATTATGTTTGTGTGTTTTAATCAATTTACTTCCATGACAACTTTTAGGGGCGTAGATTTTTTTTAAGAGCAGAAGCAGAAATGTGAAGGAACAGCTCTCATGTGATATTAGGAAGCTTTGTTTAAAATTATAGTTTAACTTAGTTCATAGTTTTACAGTCACTCTTCGTTAGGCGGGTTGAAAAATATGCAGTGATCCTTCAAACGTGGAGACACGCCTCCTCCTGTCCTGTGTGCTCCAGACCAGCAGCTGAATTACTCCACCTGAACGGGCGGTGTACAACCAATCTGTGCATGCGTCTACCAGAAACTGAAACTTACCACCTGTGTATGTTGACCTGCGTCAAGAGTGACTCATTGACACATGTGGTGGAGATAGTCCGGTGATTTTTCAAAATAAAAGTTTTTTTTTTTTTTTTTTTTTTTTTTTTTTTCATTTAGCCTTTATTTATACAGGTTAGTCTCATTGAGCCACGAGAACTCATTTTCAAGAGAGACCTGTTTAGGGAGCACATGATGGGGGTTAAGGGCCTTGCTCATGGGCCCAGGGTGGGGCGAATGAGGGTGGGGGCAAGTGTGGGTGTTTCACCTACCCCACCCACAATTTTTTTGATGTTGTCGGGGCCGGGGCGTGAACCGGCGATCTTCGGATCACAAGCCCACCTCTCTAACCTCTGCGCCACCACTCCCCCAAAATAAAAGTTTTTTTTGTTTTTTCCTGTGTGGCCCGGTGGTTGGGGACCACTGCTTTAGATGAGTAGTGTTGAACACAAGTAAAAGAAAGTCTAGTGGTGATGTTTTTTAATTTCTCTATAAACACAGCGTCAGGTCGGCACCATTTGTGTATTAAAGTTAAATACAAAGTGTAATAAAGTTGAAATGTCTTTAAAACCTACAGCTGAATTTCCACAAACTTGGTGAGAAACGTGGAATTTACGTAAATCTAAATGAAATGTTGCTTTTTGGTTCATTAGTGTACTTTTTTTGCACACTGGTGGTGCGTGCATGTGTGTGTGTGTGTGTGTGTGTGTGTGTGTGTGTGTGTGTGTGTGTGCGTGTGTGCGTGCGTGCGTGCGTGCGTGCGTGCGTGCGTGCGTGCGCACACACCACCACTAGTGTGACGCCAATGCAATAACATGGCACCTAAGAGAAAACTGAAGTGATTCATTCTGGCCAGCTGCAACTCTTTCTGGTGTTTTTTTGGCATTTTGGAAAGAGGTGTATATAGAATTTTAGGCTTTATTTTGATAGTCCACTAGTTTTGAAAATAAATATTTAGCTTAAAAATTAAACATTTAATTTACACCTAAATATTAAGTTCACTAACTAAATATTTAACTTGCACGTTAAACATTTAGCTTGATATAAACATTTAGTTTGTAAACTAAATAATTAGCTTGTAAATTAAATGTTTAGTTTGGAACTATGACATTTATAAATGTATGATTAACATGGTTAAAATGTAAAAACCTTTTTCTTCTTATGAAAGGTTAAATAAACCAACATCCTGCTGTTAAGTTTTGACGGCGTAATTTTTCATACCCCGTAGTTTTCAGACATTGTCCTGCAAGTTCAAACTTGAACATGTATTCTGTTCTGTAACATAAAGGACATTCTGTTTTAAGTTAGCTACATGTCTCGAGTGATTTTGTCTGAGTTTTAGCCTCAGTCTATTCCCACAGTTATCTGGAGAACGGGATTGATTCCAGTTTGCTCTTCCTAAATAAAAAAAATGAAAAAACCTACACACACCTGCTCTAATATTCCAGTTGTCGACTGGTGGACTGACGACGGCTGATCAAAAATGTAAAGCCCATTGTCCGTCTTGCAACTTGTTTTTCTCTTCAGTAACTCTGAATTTAAATTGTTCCGATCTTGCAGTCGGGGTGTAATCTTGTTTTCTGTGCTTGCAGCTGCAGATGGAAAAGCACCGATTGCTGCTGTGGAAGAGGAAGATGATGATGTTCCAGGTGAGAGCTGAAATGCTTCTTGTGTTCAGAGAAAATGGCCATGCACCACATTTTTCTTCCCCTAAATTACAAATGTCACATTTCAAGGCCCTAATCAGGTTGACTGGAGTTTCACGTCTGGTTTGATTTCCCCTCGTCTTAGTTGTATAAAAGTTTTAGGTTTGTCTCGTCAGACTCCATCAGGTACTTCTGATGATGGTGCAACGTGACTAGTTTGACTCTCGTGCTCACCGTTTCAGTTTGCTTGTCTTCCTGCATAAAATGGACCGAAAACACCAAGTTAGCATTAGAATAATCTCAGCTTTTCCCAGGACTTCTCTCACTCGTGCAACAAGTGATTACGGTTTTGTTCAACGGTTGGAGCGGTGTATGGCTCGGGGGTCAACAGCCAGCCCTCCCTCTGACGGGAACATGTTGACTCAGACCTTTTGACTGGTTTCCATTTGAACCCCAGCCCTCTGAGACAGGACTTGGACACGCAGATTTCTCACGTTTCATGTCGTACTCAAAGCCAACCTTTAGATGTTCATCATTTTTCACAGCCGGCCTCAGTCGACGTGAGCGCCTCGCATGTCTGACACATTGCTGTGAACGTGAGTGGGTGTGATGAGACCGTTCCATAAAGTGTCCCATTTCAGATAAACACTTTTCCTGACTTATGCTCTGCGCTTGGAGCGTCCTTTTCTTTCCTACTCGGTCAGTTTACACCTCAGTCTTTTGTCCTTTCAGATCTGGTTGAGAACTTCGATGAAGCGTCCAAGGATGAGGCCAACTAGAGGAAACGGATGTCAGAACACGACAGGACCACGTGGGGCACAAAATGTTATAAAATATATCTGAAGGAGTGGAAAGTTAAAATTAAAAATCTAAGGACAACTGACAACTTTTTCTGTAATATGTGCAACACCTGAGTAAATTACTTGCATGCTCAAATTATTTTTTAGTAATTTAGTCGAAGTGGGTCTGAAAAGGGGGTTGCTGCAGTATGTAGGTGTACTTGAAGTCACCCCACCTGTTTGTCACCAGGTGTGCAGATGCTTGTTGTGCTCTTTGTGCCGTTAGTAAGAGATTGTGTAAAGTGTGGTGTTCAGTGCTCCTGCTGTACATCTTCTGTTACTGAACCTGAACTCTGTGGCCTCTAAGACCTCTTATATCTGGAATAAACCTTTGCTACTGTCTACAAATAATCTTTAAGCTGAAGTTTGTGGTTAATGAGATCTGTGAAAACCCTACACTCATGTCAGGATTCTCTTCTGGGCTGGTCCCTCCACAGCCCGACTTGAGGAAAATTAGATGTTAAGGAAAAAATCAAGAGCCGCATTTCTGTTTCTTTTGATGTCTTGTATTGGTTTATGTAAATGTATTTTTTTACACTCAGTTATCAAACAAAAATGAGAGAAGCCATGAAAGCTTGTCGCACACTCCACAGGTAGTTTGTGTTGGCCAGGACTTCTCACGTCACGAGGTATTCTTGTGAACTCCTGAAGTCTTCATAGTGAGGATATTAATATTTCTATAGACCACGCCCACTTCGAAGTTCAAACTAGTCACAATAGTTGACCACACAAGAAAACATTCAGTTCAGGTACGCAAGAACACAAACCATGTGAGAACGTTCTTTTCTCACTGCTGCAAGAACAATTTTCTCTTGTTCTTGTGGAGTAGGGAACAGCCTTAATGTGCAGTGATACAAAAATCAAAACATCCCGTTCATTTAAGTGCAGTGTGCAGTCTTCAATTCACAACACATCTAAATAACTCCAATAAATAAATCCAGTCCAGACAACGCTTCATGTGACAGATGTTCAGCATCAGACTTAAATACACGTTTTAAAATTAACTCATGTTAAACAGGGTAGGTAAAACTAGTTAAATTAAGGTGTAAAACTAAAGTTAAAAACAATCCAGTGCACTTTTCATCAGTGATGAAATCTTGCGGTCTGAACAATAAAGTGCAGTATGACTGAAAATTCACACAGAACAAACTATGTGCGTCCAAAACGTAAAATAATTTTGTAAAAATGCAGCTGACCCCTGCGACCCAAAAAGAAGTGGGTAGAGATGGATGGATGAAAAATCTTCCTGTGGGCTAAAAGAGTTGTTCAGGATCTGTTCTTCAGTTCACTCTCTGACTCCCATGAGCAGCTTCAGTAAGTGTGCCTCCATCACCTGTTGAACTGAACACACACACACGGGGCTGTGAGCAGAGCTGGAGGCGACCGACACATGAACTGTGCTGCAGGACAGATCACTTTGCACTCTTTCAGTTCTAGGCTGAACTAGAATGATCCGGTCTTTACCTGGTTCTAAAATTAAATTTAATCTGAAGCAACTAAAACTGATTCCACCATGTCATCTTTTATTAAACAAAAATAAAGTGGGGACAAAAAGTTTTAAAAAGCTGAATCCACCCATGTTGCTTCCACAGGGTTTAAGGTTCAGTATGAGCCAGGACCTGCCGAAGTGTAGCGTAGAATCATGTATTGATGCTCCCCATCAGTGTGACCACCTCTGTAAAAGCTGCTGTGTTGCCATTTTGCTGCTCTGGAGCATACAAGTGTGTGTGTCAACACAATGCCAAGATGGAAAGACATCAGCAATGATCTTGGAGAAGCAACTGTTGGAGCTTGTCAATCAGAAAAGTTAAAGGTCATTTCCAAACTACTTGAGAGTCCGTCCTGAGATTATTCACAAGTGGAAAACATTTAGGACGGCTGCCAATCTTCCCAGGAGTTGACGTCGAGCAAATTCACCCCAAGGTCAGACCATGTAATGCTCAGACCTGACAAAAACACAAGAGCTCCCTCTATCTTCTAGCACAGAACAGCTGAAAAGAATGAAGGCGCTGCACCGATCCAGTCAAAGTTCAGAACCTCAAACTGAAACGCTGTGGTGGACTTATTTTACACAAACAGCTTTTCCATCGTGGCTGTTTAATAAATAATGACACAGTGGAAACTGCACGTTTGTTCACCTGTGCCTAGACTTGACCCATATCAGAACCTGGAAAAGACCAAAATCATCTTGTGTCCTGATGCAGACATTAATTATGAAGTTTCTGTAATTCACAAACTCATGACAGTCCTAACGAAACAGGACATTTCTTTATGACTTCCTGCACGTTTAGTTACTCTTCATAAATACAGCCAGTGGTGATGTGTTTGATTTTCAGATACCATTCCGATGGCCCATGGCCACAGCCATGTCCATCGCGTTGAATCCAGAATCAGACTCCACAGTCGGATCAGCGCCGCTCTCTGAAACAAAACAAATAAATTACAGTATAATAGAGAAAACATAATAGATGCTGTTTACTTTTCAATAAATAACAAATCTGTTTAATTAAATATTTTGGTTCCACCTAATAAAATCTCCACACAGCGCACGTGGTTTCCATGGACAGCGTACAGCAGAGGAGCTCCTCCGTTCTGAAGCACACCAAAGAAACATCATGTTGGTTTTCACATCCGTGCACAGAACAAGTTAAACACCATCACTGACTTTAATTATTGCCCACTCTGCTAAGCGGGGCTCAGTAAAGTATGTTAGTGCTCACCCAGTCATATTCGTTGACGTCCACTCCGCAGTCAATCAGCATCTTTACAATGTCGGTGTAACCCTTACTGCAGGCCAGAGACAGAGCACTTTCCCTCCCTTTGGCCAGCAGGTTGGGGTCGGCCCCCTACACCCACAATTGGTAGAATATTAAGTGAATTAATGTTTTCTCTGAAATTTAACAAAACAACGGGACAGATTGTTTCTGACCGTACATTCTGTAGAAGAAACTCAACAACAGCAATTTGTCCGTGTGCTGCGGCCCACATCAGAGGGGTGAAGCCTTCCTCGTCTTGGAGGTTGATGATGGTTTCTGTGGACATGAATAGAAGCACATTTAGTTACAACAATGACAGAAGCAAATATAGATTGCAGGCACAAGAAACCTCTGACATGCCTCTGTGCCACTAAGTGAGGTGGTAACAGGGTCAGGCTGGCCGAAATGTGAAGAAACAAACAAGTAAATGTAAAGACATATCCTGATACTGCTCAATAATCCAGGTAGAAAAATCCAAAAAAGTTCAATCTGGTCCTCTGGACATTCAAAACAAACGGGAGGAGCCTCCGGGTTCAACTGTCCCCCTCTTACAATGCTGTGATTGCTAGTATCACTCAGCCCTCTGTGAACAGTAAACAGCCATCAGTGTGCTAATGATCCATTGTTAGGCTGATGGTCCTTCTTGACCATGTGATCAGCTGGTTTTGGTTGTCAGCAGCAAACTGGTTGATCCACTCTGAGAAGGTGCTATTTAAGAGACTGAGCTGAATACAGCACCTCAGACTGAGGAAGTCTCTTGGATGAGAGACGAAACGTTTCTACATTTTTTTGTTGATTTGCTTTGTTTTGTTTTTTTGAATGTCCAGAGGACCAGATTTAACTTTTTTGGATAAATGTAAAGACGCGCAGACCTGAAGCTCAGTGATGTGATGGATTGACGACAGCTGCGACCGCTCTTGTGGGATTAAACAACAGCAAACTGATTTATTACCAAAGGAACACTGATGGTGAAACAGCAACTTTGAAGTTAGTTTAAAAACTAGTTAACCACAAACAGTATCGCTGCACCGAGTTAATTCATGGAACTGAGGAGAGAAATGTCCGGCACTTGAATGCATCACGAGCCGCTTCAGTCCAGCACAGTTTTGCTCCACGTCTCGATTCCCCTCAAAGTGCACTGGGGCAATAATGATCAAAGTCCATTAAATTAACATTGTATTCATACAAAAACAGCTGTCCCAATCACTTATATTGCAGGTTATAGGGATCATACAAATTCAATATTCTTATGGCTTAAAATACTGAAAGTTGAAGATGGTGAAATTCCAAACAAGCCATACTTTGTTTGGAGGAAAAATTATTCAACTACCAGGAAACAGACAAAGTATGTTTTGTGTAGGAAAAGGAAGCTATGATTTAAAGGACTAACAAAGTTAAGTCAGGTCCTCAGAACAGATTAAAAAAGAAAATGTTAGTATCACTCATCCCCCTGTGAATAGCAAGCGGCCATCAGGGCACTAACGATCAGTCGTTAGGCTGATGGTCCTCCTTGATCATGTGAGCAGCTGGTTCTGGCCATCACCATCAAACTGGTTGATCCACTATGAGAAGGTGCTGTTTATAAGACTGAGTTTGGTCTCTATACAAGCGGTGCGAGACTTTGGTTCACATTGCTGACAGTAAAGCCCCCACTATACTGCCGCGTACATCCATACGCAGAGGTACGTGCGTACGTACGCAGCGTACCCTCTGTGCAAAGCTCAAATTTTTACGACCGCATACATGTACGCGGTGTCGCACAATAAACTGCCCGGCGACGGACTGTTTTGTATGCGACACCAATGTATTAAATTCCCCTTCTTCATCCCTGATCTGGACTTTTCTTTAGTTTTTTTGCCAAGAGGCAGTGATCTCTTCCTCCTCGGTTGATGCCGTGACTGAAAAGGTGAGAAATGAAGGAATTTGTCACGAGCGAATTAAACTCAGGTCCAGCGTGGCTGCGAGGGGGTCTGGAAACTTCCTGGTGGGCTGGTCTGACGTGTGGGCTGTAGAGCCAGCGCTCCCTGTTTTTTTTTTATTTTTTAGATCTTTTTAACAACATATAAACACAGAACACCGCTGCGTCTGAGGCTGCCAGCGCTAGCTTTTTTTCTTTTTTCCTGCCTGTCAATCAATCCAGTAGGCAACCAATCAGCGACCTCAATTTGTCCCGAAGGTAAACGCCCCTTGTCTGTGAAGCTGCTCTGTACGCGTGAACGTACGTACGCGGCAGTATACTGGAGGCTTAAGTCGGACCCCTTCAAGGTGGGAGTTGGACTCCACCAGGGTTGCCCGTTGTCACCGAGTCTGTTCATAACTTTTATGGGCAGGATTTCTTGGTGCAGCCAGAAAGTGGAGGGAGTCTGATTCAGTGTCCTCAGGATTCCATCCCTGCTCTTTACAGATGATGTGGTCCTGTTGGCTTCATCGTGATCTTCAGCTCTCACTGGAGCGGTTCGCAGCCGAGTGTGAAGCAGCTGGGATGAGAATCAGCACCTCCAAATCTGAGGCCATGGTCCTCAATCAGAAAAGGGTGGATTGTTCTCTTCAGGTTGAGGGTGAAGTTCTGCCTCAAGTGGAGGAGTTCAAGTATATCGGGGTTTTGTTCATGAGTGAGGGAAGAATGGAGGGTGAGAGTGACAGACTGACTGGTGCAGCGTCTGCAGTATTGCAGACTCTGTACCGGTCCATTGTGGTGAAGTGGGAGCTAAGCTATAAGACAAAGCTCTCCGTTTACTGGTCAGTCTATGTTCCTCCCCTCACCTCTGGTCATGAACTCTGGGTAGCGACTGAAAGAATGAGATCGTAGATACAGGAAGTTGAAATGAGTTTCCTCCGCAGGGTAGCTGGACTCTCCCTTAGAGACAGGGTGAGAAGTTCAGTTATCAGGAGAGTTGGAGTAGAATCGCTGCTCCTCCACATCGAGAGGAACCCGTTGAGGTGGTTTGGGCATCTGGTAAGGATGCTCCCTGGGCGCCTCCCTAGGGAGGTTCTTCAGGCATGTCTGACTGGGAGAAGACCCAGGACACGCTGGAGAGACTATGGTCGTTTTCACACCAGATAGTCCGGTAGACTCGGTTCGGGACCAATATTCATGACCTTTTGTTACATTTGAGCTGGTGCATTTGCATTCACACTGCACTGTGCAGTCGAGTCAACCTGTAGAACCAACCTGTTCCCCCCGCTCGCCTGTGGGGGCGCTGCACCAAGAACTACTGAAAGAAACGACACAAAAACTTCTGAAGACACTTCTTCTTCTGTAAATAAAAATAAAAACGAAGTGGCATCAAGTTTTAGCAGTTTTAGGAGTTATATTTTGTCATTTTTCAAAAATGGACTTAGCATGAGCAGAAGAAGAGACAGAAGACCACGGAGAATATTGTTTTTCACACAAGGCAGCTGACGGCTCCAAATAAGGTCAGAGAAATGCGTGTTTGTTTGTCCTGCGGAGCGGGGCCGGTCTGTTTACATTCACACTGTACTCGAACCGCGCTGGAGTTCGATTCTACCGGACCGAGACCTAGGTTTTAGCCCGGGCCAGAGTTCACCTTTTTGTTCTGTGACAGAGTTTGATGGTGCGTTCACACCTCCCTAAACGAACCGGACTTTCAAGGAAAACGAGCTAGAGTTTGATTAAAGTGCACTAAACAGGGCTGGTGTGAATGCACCCTATGTCTCAGTTGGCCTGGGAACTCCTTGGAGTCCTCTCAGAAGAGCTGGAAGAGGCTGTGGAAAGAGATGTCTGGACCTCCCTGCTCAAGCTGCTGCCCCCACGACCTGACTTCAGAACAAGAGGAAGATGATGGATGGATGGAAGGATGAATGGATAAATGGATGGATTGAGTTTAGTGCAGCTCCTCAGACTGACAGTCTTTTGGACAAAAGATGAAAAGTTTCAACATTTTTTTTAAATCCAAGGACCAGACATAACTTTGTTAGATTTTTCTACCTGGATTATTGAGCAGCATCAGAACATAATTTAAAGGATTTTTGCAACTTCTCGACTGTTTTGTGCATTACTGTCAGAAATACATGTTTGAGTTTCAGTGAGTGGAAAGAAGCTGGAGAAGTTTGCATGTGGAGTTGAAGCAATGTCCAAACATAAAGCACCTCAAAAAGAAGTGTAAAGAAATGGTCACCACAAGTCAGAAAAACAAAGATGCTTGAATTTCAGTGAATATTTCAGCTCATTCGGTTGATATTTTGACGGCTACAATTTGATTTCTGAGACGCATCAACCCTGAACTGATCCAAACACCGCAAGAAAAGCTCTCACTAAACAAAATATCTTGTAGTTCTGAGTTGTTGGCATGAGGAAAAAAAATAACTTTAAGATGGGGAAAATTGAGAAGTGGCAGTTTTTCTTATATTTAGAAAATTGTATATAAATATTGCAATTTTATGTCTAGACTTGAACACGGCTGTGAATATTAATTCAGTTCACAGAGTACAGCACCTTGTTCTATCCTGCTGACCAGAAACACCATTTCTCCTTGAGCTGCCAGCTGATGAATTGACAAAGCTGAAAGAAAAGAATTCACGTTACAACAGGTTTGATTTAGAAGATGAGCTGAAGCAACATGAGTACTTACAATGAACCAGAAGAGGTGTGGAGGACACCTCGTTTCCACGGTGTTTGTTGGTGAGGGTGGTGGACTGCTTGATGGGGGAGAAGTGTTTTGTGGTGGATGGGGTGTAAACATGGCGCACCTGGATACCCGGTGAGGGTGAAGTCTGAATGTTACACTCAGCTGAAAGAAAGAAATCATTTATGACCAAGCTTCATGTTTGTACTCATGAGACAAGTGACAAAGATTATTCTTACCTTTGAATAAAACCGAAGCCACCTCCAGATCGGAGTTCACCTGGTCCTGGATGTTCTTGCTCTCCTCCTCATTAAGAGACTTGACAAATCTGGAGCACACGTTCATGTCAAAGCGGTTGGGCAGAATAAACTTGATGCCCATGGCCACATTTTGGGGGTTTGTATCATCGGGGGTTCCACCCACCGACTGCTCAGTCTTTATGGCGCTCAGGTCTGGCATCACACAGATCCTCTCCACCTCCTCCGACACCACAGGACACTCCGCGGTCCCCTCACCTGTCACCTTCTCCATCCTGTTACCGATCACTCAGCTAACACAAACTAAAGTCACCGAATGCCAAGAAAAAAGCACAAATCACCGGTAACTGATGTTCAACACGAGCGAACCTCACCGTTAGCCTCTTGTTAGCATGCTAGCTATAACATTGTTATCGTAATCGTTCATTAGTCAAATATATGTGCGAAGAAAAAATATTTTAACATGTAAACGATTTATGCATAAATGTCAACATAAATAGTTTAACTAAAATGGAAAAAAAAAATCAGTTTACGCACATTTATTTCACGAGCAACCTCAAAATCTCATAATTTGCACCGCTGTCAGTGTTTTGATTGACTTGCACATGCGCGGTTACTCTTCTTCGGCGGTATTTATTGTTTATTGGCAACCAGTTTATTCCGCCGCCTATAGGACAAACGTATGTACTACTAGAAGATTGAAAAACTGAATTTGTTTTTAAGTATTTATTATTAAACTATTTATTAAGTTTAAAAACTATTTACATTTGTGCCAAGATTTTTGTCTTTCTACATTTTTTGTAGTATCTATTACTACACAGCAACAACAATCATAATAATAGCCAAGTATCTTCTTCTTCTTTCGGCTTTTCCCTCTTGAGGGGTCTCCACAGCGAGTCCTCCTCCATCTCACTCTGTCCTCTGCATCCTCTGTCCTCACTCAACTACCTTCATGTCCTGTCTAACTGCATCCATCCTGGCAGCTGCATTTCTAACATCCTTCTACCAATATACCCACGGTCCCTCCTCTTGACATGTCCAAACCATCTCAGTCTGGCCTCCCGAACTTTATCTCCCAGTTGTTCCACCTGTGCTGTACTTCTGATGAACTCATTCCTAATCTTATCCAGCCTTGTCACTCCTAAAGAGAACCTTAGTCAAAGTCAAAAAGTCAAAGGCACTTTGCACAGGATTGAAATTACATTACTCTCAGACCCCAGTGCAACAATAACCATTTCACATTAAAACATTTAATAAACATAAGCATAAAATGAAATAATAAAAGTATGATATTGTCTTAAATTGTACTATAGCGGTATATCATTTTTTTAAAGTATATCTATAAAATAAAATTAAATGAAGTGAAGGTCCAAACATTGACATTTGTAGTAAGTGGCAAAGCAACATATGAAGTGAATGTACACAGTCACACAGTATGAAGTCCTTGATATTGGTGTAGGTAAAGTGACATATGCAATAGTAGTGTAATATAAGCAGCAGTGCAAATGTAAACAGTAGTTTACATTTGCTCTTACTCTTAGCATCTTCATTTCTGCCACTTCCAGTTCTGTCTCCTGTCTTTTTGTCCATGTCTTTGTCTCCAGACCATACAATATAGCTGGTCTCACCACTGTCTTGTAAACTTTTCCTTTGACCTTTGCTGACACTTTTTTTGTCACAAATCACTCCTGAAACTTTTCTCCATCCACTCAATCCTGCCTGGACTCTCTTCTTCACCTCTTTACCACATTCCCCATTTTCCTGGACAATGGACCCCAAGTACTTGAAGTCCTGCACCTTTGTGACCTCTGCTCCTTGTAGCCTCACTGTTCCACCGGCCTCCCTCTCATTCACACACTGTACTCTCTCTTACTACGGCTGACTTTCATTCCTCTTCTTTCAAGTGCATACCTCCACCTTTCCAAGTTTTCTTCCACCTGTTCCCTGTTCTCACCACAGATCACAATGTCATCTGCAAACATCAAAGTCCTTGGGGATTCCTGCCTGACCTCATCTGTTAATTGGTCCATCACCAGAGCAAACAAGAAGGGGCTCAGAGCCGATCCTTGATGCACTCCCACCTCCACCTTGAAGCTATCTGTCACTCCTACAGCACATCTCACCACTGTCCTGCTGTCCTCATACAAAGTACATGTCCTACACCAGTCTCACATAGTTTTCTGCCACTCCAGATTTCCTCATGTAATACCACACCTCCTCTCTTGGCACCCTGTCAGATGCTTTTTCTAAATCCACAAAGACACAATGGAGTTCTTTCTGACCCTCTCTGTACTTCTCCATCAGCATTCTCAAAGAAAAGATGGCATCTGTGGTGCTCTTTCTTGGCATGAAACCATACTGCTGCTCACAGATAGTCCTCTTGTCCAAGTCTTGCTTCCACAACTCTCTCCCAGATCTTCATCGTGTGGCTCATCAACTTAATTCCCCTGACGTTGCTACAACTTTGTACATCACCCTTGTTCTTAAAAATGGGTACCAGCACACTTCTAATCCATTCCTCAGACATTTTCTCACCCTCAAATATGCCACTGAATGTTTGAGTCAAAAACCTCACTGCCATCTCTCCAAGACATTTCCAAACCTTCACTGGTCATCAGGTCCTACTGCCTTTCCATTCTTCATTCTTTTCAGAGCTTTCCAGACTTCACCCTCACTAATCTTTCCCACTTCCTGGTCCACAGTTTTTATGACCTCTACTCTTCTTTCTCTTTCATTCTGGGGTGGCTGTGGCTGAGTGGTTAGAGCAGTCGTCCTCCAATGCAGGAGTTGGGGGTTGAATCCACCAGCAGTCACATGCCAAAGTATCCCTGGGCAAGACGCTGAACCCCTAGTTGCCTCCCATGTGTGTCCCAGTGGTGTATGAATATGATAAAGCTCTAATTAGTCTCTTTAGAATGATTTGTTCAATTAGCTTTGTAGAGATTTAGTAGAGTGCTGTATGAATGGGTAAACGAGGACACAGATTGTAGTGTAAAGCGCTTTCAGTATCTCAATAAGATAGAAAGGTGCTATATAAATACAATCCATTTACCATTCATTCTCTTCATTCATTAGCTCATCAAAGTACTCCTTCCATCTTCCTGTCACACTCTCCTCACTTGTTAGAACATTACCATTCCTATCTTTAATAAGCCTAACCTGCTGCACATCCTTTCCAGCCTGATCCCTCTGTCTTGTCAATCGGTACAAGTCCTTCTCACCCTCTTTAGTGTCCAGTCTCCCATACAACTCATCGTATGCCTTCTGCTTTACCTTAGCAACTTCCCTCTTTGCGCTACGTCCCATCTCCTTATATTCCTGTCTCCTCTCTTCAGTCCTCTCACTGTCATATTTCTTCTTGGCTAATCTCTTTCTTTGAACGGCGTCCTGCACTTCACTATTCCACCACCAGGTTTATTTATCATCCATTCTCTGTCCAGATGACACACCAAGTACCTTCCTACCTGTCTCTCTAATTACTGTTGCTGTAGTAACACAGTCATTTGGGAGCTCTTTCTTACCACCCAGAGCCTTTAATAGCTCCTCTCTGAATTTCTCACAACATTCTTCTTTCTTCAGCTTCCACCATTTAGTCTTCTTCTCTGATTTTACTCTTTTTCTCTTCTTCACAACAACAGTCATTTTACACACAACCATCCGATGCTGTCTGGCCACGCTCTCCCCTGCCACAACCTTACAGTCTCCAATCTCCCTCAGATTTACTCTTCTACACAGAATGTAGTCGACCTGCGTACTCCTTCCTTCACTCTTATAGGTCACTCTCTGTTCCTCCCTCTTTTGGAAATAGGTGTTGACTACAGCCATTTCCATTCTCTTTGCAAAATCCACCACCATCTGTCCTTCCTGGTTTCTTTCCTTGACACCAAACCTACCCATCACTTCCTCATCCTCTGTTTCCTTCACCAACATGTCCATTCAGGTCTGCTCCCATCACCACTCTCTCCTCCCTGGGAATACTCTCTATCACTTCATCCAGATCTTTCCAAATTGTATCTTTCTCCTCCTCATCACATCCAAACAGTGGAGCATAACCACTGATGATGTTTAGCATCAGACCTTCTACTTCTACTTTCAGACACATCACCCTATCTGACACTCTTTTCACCTCTACTACATTATTTACCAACTCCTCCTTCAGGACCACCCTTACTCCATTTCTCTTTACCTCCACACCACGGTACAACAGTTTGAACCCTGCTCCAATGCTGTGAGCCCTGCTGCCCTTCCACTTGGTCTCTTGGACACATAAAACATCTACCTTCCTTCTCTGCATCATGTCAGCCAGCTCTCTACCTTTGCCTGTCATTGTCCCCACATTTAGAGTTGCAACCCTCAGTCCTACATTCTTCACTTTCCTCTTCTCCCTCTGTCTCCTGACACGTTTCCCTCCTCGTGGTCTTTGACTAACTAGCACAATTTCTGCCGACACCCTGTTTGTCAACAGCACCGGTGGCAGTCGTTGTTAACTCGGGCCTTGACTGATCTGATATGGTTTCGCTTTGATGAACTCGCATTATGGTTTTGGCAAAAGTGTTTTACATCGGATGCCATTCCTGACACAACCCTCACCATTTACCCGGGCTTGGGACCGGCACAAGAGATACACTGGCTTGTGCTCCCTAGTGGCTGGTTTCATAATAGCCAAATATATGACCTGTAAATATTAGAAAGTGAGTGTATGTGGGGCCTAAAAACAAACAAAAAATGTTCTAGTAATAACTGGAGCACTGATACTTGTCAAAAAGGGGATGGAGAACGTCATCAATCAAACAAATCCCAGGCAACAGCAAAGTAACAGAACTACAAAAAATCTCACTCTTAGCGAAAGCACATATTTTCAGAAAGGTACTTTTCATCAAATATGTTTTATCTCTATCTATACGTTATTATGACCCTGGGCTCATGATTTATTCCTAGTTGTAATGTGAAAATGCAAAATCTGAAAAAGTAAGGATAATTTAAAAAATATATATTATTATCATTATTATTACTGCCAGTGATTTTTGCTTTTTTTTCTTGGTATTTATGCAAGCCGTGACTGTAATCTCGGCACATTAGCTGTATAATTGGTAACAAGACGGAAAATTATTATAGCTAAGAATGAAAGTCAGCCGTAATAAGACAGAGTACATGTGTAAATGAGAGGGAGGCCGGTGGAACAGGCCTCCCTCTCATTTACACATGTATTCGCTGCTGTATTGCACCAAGGTTCAGCTCTGAGCCCCTTCTTCTTTGCTCTGGTGATGGACTGACTAACAGATGAGGTCAGGCAGGAATCCCCATGGACTATAATGTTTGCAGATGACATTGTGATCTGTGGTGAGAACATGGAACAGGTGGAAGAGAACTTGGAGAGGTAGAGGTATGCACTTGAAAGAAGAGGAATGAAAGTCAGCCGTAGTAAGAGAGAGTACATGTGTGTGAATGAGAGGGAGGCCGGTAGAACAGTGAGGCTACAAGGAGCAGAGGTCACAAAGGTGCAGGAC